CCCAGCTCCAGGTTGAGCTGTTGTTCAGCATCTTAGCTGTAGAGGGCAGTGTCACTGGCCCTCATATGTGGGATCCGAACCGGGGCCCTCGGGCATCCTAAGCGAGTTCTTAACCATCGCGCCACTCGGCCGGCCCAGAATCACCCCTTTTCCATTCTGGCTGAGCCTCACCAGAGTTTCCAGAACTTTCCCTTCCGTCATAGTGAAATTGTAACACCCTGAGCTGTTTTCGTGTTGTCAGGATGACAGCTCACTGTTCATTTGGGGGGTTTTCTTGTCCAGCTTAAGCCTTCTCCTAATGTTTTGCCAAATGTTGGGGGTTGGTTTTTGTTTGGCATCTTGGCAGCTGTTCTGGTTAAACTTATTTCATGCTGTTTGGATTTTTGAGTTTCCTGAGAGCTATTTAGGATTTGTTTCTTTTCAGGGTGCTATCTTCTGGCCCCTCTATTCCTACTGAGAGGCCAGGTGGTTTTTCTAAGAGATGCCTCCTTTCTCTTTTTCTCCTCATACAAGGGTAATAATTGCTCTACCTTTGTAGTGATATTGATTGCAAGTGTAAATGAGGCTTGTGGGTTCCTGAGAGACAAACCGCCCTGTCTGTGCTCAGTATTTACAGCCTAGTTAATAATCAAGGTCTGGTTTGGCCCCATGTCTGGCTTAGGGTCAGATTCTTCTGCGTAAGTGGCATTAACTCCTTTAGCCGCCTCACTGTCAGCTTTTGGGCTTCACTCAGGGCTGGATGTAGGAACAGCATGAATCATGGGAAAGAAGGAGTACCTCATGAAGCCAAGAGCCGCTGCAGCTACTCCCACCAGTATGACAACCGCGTTTATACCTGCAAGGTGAGTCCCCTGAGCTTCTCCCTGCTCTAGAGCTGGCTTGCTGGTCATGCTCTCCTTTTGGAAAGACTGGCTTGGGGCCACCTTTGCTGCATCCCAAAGTATTTGATATTCAAATTGAATGTCCCTGAAACTTGTCCTCAGCTCTAACCAAAAGAACTCACATGTCTTTGTTACTGGGGCCCTTGGGTTTTTTGTTTGTTTTGTTTTTTTAAGTTAATTTTCCCCTTATTCTGTTGAGGTTGTATGATGTGCTCTTCAGGAACCGGTTTTCCGGTTTTGATTGATTTCTCCTGTCTGTGACAGGGGTGTAATTTACATCTCAGTCTTGGGGCTCAGGATGGGTACACATTCAATTCATGACCATTCAGGGCACTGGCTGCTTTCGAGAAATGAACTTCCTTCTGATGTGCTAACTGGGAGGGTCTGTAAACCCTCAGCTGGTGTGGTTTGCTGGGAGTGGGGCTGGACAGGGACGTGAAGAGGCCATGGGGGTTGGTGTACAGAGAAGAAGCTGGCAGAGTGCTCCATGTTTCAGGCCTGCTATGAGAGAGGCAAGGAAGTCAGCGTAGTGCCCAAGACATCTGCTTCCACCGACTCCCCCTGGATGGGTCTTGCAAAATATGCCTGGTCTGGGTGAGTTTAAGCAACATAGCTAAGGGTTGTTTGGTGTGTTTGTCTCCCCAGGCACCTGGCTGGGTAATAGTATCTATTTGCATTCCTTGTAGGTATGTGATCGAATGTCCTAACTGCGGAGTGGTCTATCGTAGCCGGCAGTACTGGTTTGGGAACCAAGATCCTGTGGATACGGTGGTGCGGACAGAGATTGTGCATGTGTGGCCCGGAGTAAGAGCAGCCTTATTTATTTTTCTCCTGTTTCTTGTATCGCTCAGTTATTCCTCTGTGTGGAAAAGTGGAACTTGTTTAGAATGAATTCCAGTACATTGGTCGTTTAGGAAGGCATGATCTGGAGAGAACCAAGCCTTTCTTGTTTTACGTCATTAATTACTTCATTTCTTTTTACATAATTTTAGAAGCACAACTTTAAATAAAATAAATGAAAATTGATCTGTAGTTTTACTGCCTTACCAAATAAAACTTCATTTTTTTCATATTCTCACTCATTTTCCATGTGCATATGTTTGTACAGATGTGATTATAATTTGTGCCGTTTATCTGCTTTTTTCTCACACCACAATTTTATTTCCATATTGATTCCACTTCTCATGATTCTCATTTGTAGTCACCGTGTAATAGTCTGTTTAATGTTTTAGTTTGATTCCCTGTTCCCTTTTTAAACTTTCATGCTGTTTGAGGTTGTTGTTTTTTTATTTTAAAAAATGTATTTTTCAATTACTGTTGACATACAATATTATATTAGTTTCAGGTGTACAAAACAACATAATGATTAGACATTTACCTCACAAAATGATAAGCCCAATAAGCCCAATTATCCATCTGACGCTGTACATAGTTATTACAGTATTATTGACTATATTCCCTATGCTGCACTTTACATCCCTGTGACTTATTTTTTTTCAGTTATAGTTGACATTCAGTATTATTTTACATTAGTTTCAGGTGTACAGCGTAGTGGTTAGACATTTATATAATTTACGCAGTGATCCCTCTGACCAGTCTAGTACTACCTGATACTATATATAGTTTTTACAATATTATTGACTGTACTCCCCATACTGTACATTATATCCTCATGACTATTTTGTAACTACCAACTTGTATTTCTTAATCCCTTGAGGGTTTTATTTTATTTATTTATTTTTTTAGCTGAGCCATCCTACCACCTGTTGGCAGCTCAGCGGCAGCTCAGCTCGGGCCGAGCATCGAACTGCTGTTGCTCAGAGCTCACACTCTTGAGCGAACTCTTAACCAGCTGAGCCACTCAGCTGGCCCTCTTTTTTTAATCAAAGAAAATGCTATAGTGTTCATCTTTATATAAGAAAGCCTTTTCTTTGTTTTGGGGAAATTTTCTTTAAGTATATTCTAAGAAGTAAGAGCACTATAGACCCTTATTACTTTTTAATTTGACTTTTGAATTCAAAATGTTAAAAAACAAATGTTTATGAAGCATTGATATATTGCTTTCACTCGGCGTTAAACCGCAGTTCACACTTAGAATTAACCATAATGCACAATACATCCAAAACCTTTGCCCTCTGTGGAAAAAAGATAAGTGATTTTCTCTAAGGGACTTATTTTCCTTGGTGATGGTCTCCTTGCTGGGTGATTCCTAAGGTCACTGGTCAGCCTGAGAGGCCTACCTGCAGATCCACCTTTGAGCTTTCCTGGATCCTTCAGGTACCACAAAACGGACAATTCCTCATTGTTTTGTTCCTCTTCTTTCCAGTTTCCAGCCCCACTAAAATTTGTTACTGCAGTGTGGTCTCATTTCTAGAGCCCACCCCTTAGCATGATGGTCCAGGCCATCCTATTCCAAGGATATAATATGGTCTCAAACTAGCATGACTTTCTTATGAGGGTTTTTATGACTAATGTCTTGTTTTTTGATCTGTGTGTGTTCTTTCTTTTGCAAGCTATTGTCTCTATGGCAAGATAGTTTATATTCCAAGAAAACAGTCATACTATAGTTTACCATGAGGCCTTACTCCTCATAGTCCTTGGAACTAGGGAATATAGGCTCCTCGACTTCTGTTTGTTCATTCATTCATTATTTCAACATATGTTCTTGAATACTGTGTGCTCAGAATTGAACTAGATACTTACAAAAACACAAAAATGAAAAAGGCTATTGTTCTCAGAGAGTTGACAATCTAATAGGGTGTCAAATACATAAAGAGATACTGCACTGACACATGGATTCTTGGAGATGTACAGGTATTAGAGGAACAGAGAGGAAGGGTTCCTAACCCAGCCTGGGGTGGGAGGCTTCCTATGGGAAGTGTCATCTTGACACTAGTGTCTCCTGGATCGTATATCTTCGCTTATGGGCAGAGTAAGTCTGGAACTGAACAGCTGTGCACCAAGTCTTATGGTCGCCTTAAACATAATAAGTCAGAAATGACTGGTTGGTGTGATATTGCCTAGAAGCCTGAGGAATTCCTGGTGTGTCCCCATTTTTCTCTGTCAGGGGGCTTGTGGTGCTGAGTTGGCCATGATGAGTGTGCAACTCACCCAAGACCCCTCTCCCTCTTTCCGTTGACTCCCTTCACTCAGAGCATGATGGGAGCCTGCATTTTCATTTCAGACTGATGGATTTCTGAAGGACAACAACAATGCTGCCCAGCGCCTCTTGGATGGGATGAACTTCATGGCTCAGTCGGTGTCTGAGCTTAGCCTTGGGCCCACCAAGGCTGTGACATCCTGGCTGACAGACCAGATCGCCCCCGCCTACTGGAGGCCAAACTCCCAGATCCTGGTATGGTGTGGCAGGACGCTTCTGCATGCCTGGCACCACCCCTTTTGTGCTGCTTCACCCTGCCCTAAGCTTGTTCTGTGAGGGAGGTGGGGGGTTTTCCTCCCAGTCAGGTTGGCTCCCAGAGTTTTGGAAAGAGGGGATACACTGAGGCAGCCCGTGTCCTTTGCCCACTGATTTCCCTTTGTTATTCTGCAAGTATTTTCTTCGTTGTGGATTTTAGCTTCCTTACCTGCAAGAGCCAATTATTATTGGTCACATATCTGAGGTCGTAGGTAAAGAATCTGGAAGAAAAGGGTCCTTAGAGATCATTTAGGGTCATCCTTGGCTTGATACATAGATCTCTACAGCATCCACAGCAAAGGAGCGCCCAGCTTTGGCCCAAATGCTTTGTGACAGGGAACTCGCTCCTCACCAACTTCCCAGAAGCTCTTTTGAGAAGCAGTGCAAAAAAAAATGAATTCTCATTGATCTTCTAGCTAGAATTAGCCCTTCTGAGAGCCCTATGACTCAGCCAAATGATCTGAGTGCCTTTCCAGGCTCTTCTTGGAGAAAAATGATAATCATAGCTGTGTTTCAGGGGTGCATTCCATGTGTCTGGAGGTTTTAGGGCCATTCTGTTGGACTGTTGGGGTTCTGCCATTCCAAAATGGTCCCGTGGTCCTCCCCCTGAGTCTTACTGACTTTCTCAGCTGAGCTGACACAAATGATACACTTGCCTTTCTTTGTTTTGGGCTTGGAACAGAGCTGCAGCAAGTGCGCTACATCCTTTAAAGATAACGACACCAAGCATCACTGCCGGGCCTGTGGGGAGGGCTTCTGTGATGGCTGCTCATCTAAGACCCGGCCAGTGCCCGAACGGGGCTGGGGGCCTGCACCCGTGCGGGTGTGTGACAACTGCTATGATGCCAGAAATGTCCAATTAGGTAATGTGGGGCCCGGGAGCTGCTAGGGGGTGAAGGGGTGGGGAGCCTCTCTCCTTGGCACCAGGTGTTGGGAACTGGCCTCCCATATGCCCAACCCTGTTCCTAACTGCATCACTCTTCTGAGAGCAATTGCTCCCTTGGTCTTGGCCATTCATTCTCTGAGCTCTTTGTTAACAGAGTCTTGAGGGTGCTATTCCTCGGGGATTAAGCCTGTCCTGTCTTTACCAGCCATAGCTTAGACTGAGTCTTCTCCTTAGAGAAGGTACTAGGTCATGCTTCTAGAACCTTTCTGGCTTACCTTAAAGGAAAGTTATAAAATAGCTCCAGGGGTGAGGTAAAGGATGAACAGATGTCACCCAGTTTCAGGGTCTGGACTGACCCACAGCCCAGGCCCTTGTGATCATTGCAGGACAGCATAGTGGTGCCCTGGGAGAAGAATCCAGAAGTGCTCTGCTCTTGCCCCTTGAGTTTTCCATTTGGGAAATGACTAAGAGCTGATGGCTGTTCCTTTATCATTGCCTACAGATGTTACCGAGGTACAGACAGACGATGAAGGCGGGACGCTGATTGCTCGGAAGGTGGGCGAGGCCGTGCAGAACACTCTGGGAGCTGTGGTGACAGCCATTGACATACCACTAGGTGGGCTTGGCAGTGCTTCTCTTGGGGACAGTGTACGTGGGGTGAAAGATTTTTAGAGTGCCCCAGGCTATCATTTTGTCAAAGGCTTGCAGACTTAGATTGAGTTGGGCAGCAGGGAGTTGACTGAAAATTGATTGACATTTGGCTCACATACCACTTACCTTGGTGGTTTCATGTTTATCTCTGGAGGCCATCCTCCAATGGCCATCTATTTATAGCTGCATAACAAACTACCTATAAATGTAAACGTTTAAAACAACCACCATTTTATCATGTCTCACAATTTTAAGTCAGGAAGGTAATTATTCTGCTGCAAGTGGCATTGCCTGGTGTTACTACCTGATATTCCAGTATGGCAACTGGATTGATCTTGAGCGGCCAAGCCAATGTCGCTTAGAAACTGGGCTTTGGCAGGGACGCCTACAAGACTGAGCTTAGTAGAACGAACACACGCACGCACGCACACACACACACACGCACACGCACACGCACACGCAGCCGGTCTCATAAGGCCTGGGCCTGGAAACGGGCACTAAATAATCTCCTGGGTACAGAATCTGCCTAGATTCGAGGGAGCGGGCAGGAGCGTCTGAGAATTTGTGGTTGTGTTTAATCCACACCAGCCAAGCTATTATTTTAGGATTTAAGATAGCTACTCACCTCTGGTTGTGAGGGGCACTTGTAACCGGGATGGGCAGACGGAGAGGAAGGGAAACTCACCAGTGTGTGGAGGGCTTCGGCAGGGTTGTCCGGGCCTGGGATCTGTAGGAGAGACCAAGGACTCCTGGTGGGTGGTGATAAAAATTGCTTGGAACAGATTTAATCATTGTGGTTCACAAAATGAGCAGATGATAAGCTTTTGACCCCAGGGTGTAGGAATAGATGGATTTGTCTAGGCTTGAAGCTCAGGTTGCATCTGCTGTCACGGGTAACTAGGAGAGGCAGGGCTGCCCCTGGCCCAGAGAGCCTGCCAGCTGTGTTCACCAAGTGCTCACTTGCTGTCGGGCTCCAGGCCAGTGTGTTAGACACATCATTTCTTGTAACCCCCGTAACCACTCTTGAAGGTGGGTTGTTAAAGATGAGGAAGCCACGGCCCTGAGAAGTAACCGCTCTTAATCCTGCAGCTACTAATTAACTCGTGCTCAGTGGAACTGGGATTTGAATGAAGCTCTGCTGACTCCAGAGTCTGACTTCTTATCGTTAACTCCAGTAGCTCTTCACACCGCTGCCCTTTAGGATCGCCTGGAGAGCTTAATACACAAATTGCAGTGCTGGGCCCAGCCCTGAAGATTCTGGCCTGGGTGGTATGGGGTGAAGACAGGCGTCTGCATGTTTTCAGAGGCCCATAGCTGATTCTGTGTGCAGCTGGACCGCGAGTCAGTGGAGTGTCTGAGGATGCCTTCCTGCCTGGTGGGACACGGGGTGTTGGGGTCCGTGTGTGCCGCCCATCATGGTTCCTTCCCTGCCGCAGGTCTGGTAAAGGATGCGGCAAGGCCGGCATACTGGGTGCCTGACCACGAGATCCTGCACTGCCACAACTGCCGAAAGGAGTTCAGCATCAAGCTTTCCAAGCACCACTGCCGGGCCTGTGGACAGGGCTTCTGTGACGAGTGCTCCCATGACCGCCGGGCTGTCCCTTCTCGAGGCTGGGACCATCCTGTCCGAGTCTGCTTTAACTGCAATAAAAAGCCCGGTGACCTTTAACCCCAGCTCCCTCTCCAAGTCCTTCACAATTCCTTAGGTTCTCAGGGTTAGAAACAGAAGTCTCATTGAGGTAGGCCCTCCCCCTGGTCACCTGTTGTGGTGTGTATCCTCTCTGCTCATCCTGGGGCACTTTCCCACGACGTGGGGTAGGGCAGATGGCAAGCTGGGGTGAGCCTGGCGGCAGGCCCGAAGGCATGAATCCCTCAAGGCAGAGGACCGAGCAGCTCTTAGCGAAGGGGAATGAACCCGAATCCGTTGCATTAATTTGTTAAAAATAATAAATTTATACCCATATAGACACATGAAAGGAACGTTGGAGTATATTTGGGCTGCTGCTGGTTGCGAAGACTTAACCACAAGTCTTTCCCTGGCGCAGGGACAAGGTGGTGGTGGCAGCAGATCTTCCCCCCAAAAAAAGAGCCAGGTCCAAAGCCACTGTGTTGCTGGCCACCTTCTTTCCAAGCTTACAAAGCCCTCTTTTCCTTGCCTTTTCCCGTCATGCCTCTTGGCCGCCCGGGGAAGTGAGCTTCCCAGGTGTTTGCTTGGAACCGCCTGAAGGGGATCTACCTGGGCCCCCCAGAGCTGGATCCCAATTCTTGGCCTATGCCTGTTTCAGTCAGAGACCACTCAACTTAGCGTGCAGGTCACCGGAGTGGGTGGCGAGTGAGGGGTGGGGTCCTCGGGCCTGAGAAGTCAGAGCGCAGTGATGTGACATCACCGTTCCTGGGGCAGGCTCGGAAGGAAACGCCCTCCCCCAGTCGTGTCTCCTGCTTATTGCTGCTGCTGTCTGTGCATCCACTCGGCTTTCCCAAGGCTGTACCCTGCTCCCGAATACAGCACCGCTTCCCTCCCCTCCAACCTCCTCAAGCCCACCATCTGCTTCTGAGTGTTGCACTAGGATTTTTATTGCTTATTTTGAAGTGTCTTAATTCTTTGTTCCCAGACACATGACCCCTCTAGCTATTGGAGGGGTGATCATGAGAAATCTTCCAGGGAAACAGAGCACAGAATGGACTGTTAGTTGTTTTTTGGGGTTTTTTTTTTTTTGAGTATATATAAATATTTCAACAGATCATTAAGAAAAAATTCTCTCTGGTCCTTGCAAGAGAAGTCAGATGAACTTTGGTTTCTCATCAAGAGCTGGGACACCCATATCTATCATGACTGGAAAGAGACTTGTACTGAAATCCTGTCGTCATGGTGGATTTTATCTTCAACGGCCAAAAACGAAGAATTAGAAGCGACATAGTTCCTGACTGAACTGGTGGGTGGGCCAAGCTTCGGGGAGGCACGTGGCAGACATTCCTGGCATGTGTCAGTGTGACCTGAGCCCTGGAATGTGTTGGTTCTCAGATGCCCCCGTACTGCCTCCTGTGGCCCAGTGACAGGCCCTACTCTAGTACTGTGTATCATCCAATTTGCCATCATAAAGGAATCTTCCTGCTGAACATGGATTGTGCTGACTCTTTCCTTAACTCCTCAGTAGTCTTGCTCCCTCTTTCTAGTTGATGGGAACATAACTGGCGGCTTTCAAAGCAGAAACCAAGTGAGAGGCATATTTCTAGGGTGGTCATATTTTACCTGTAAATACCTCAGTTGATTAATAACTTCAAAAGCAAGCCAAATACCATAAAATCATTATCACCTGGGTTTTAATCTCTGGATAGAGCTAGCATGTTCCAGCTCAGTTCGCTAACTGGGACCCAGAACTTTGCGAATTTCTTTTAGAGGGTGTTTACTGATGATCGGAGATCTTTCTAGTGGTTAGAGGACTCCATGCGTGCTTACTGACCATGCTGTTCTCTTCTACTGCAGCTCTTCCTCAGAGCTGTCCACAGGGTGAGACCAGGTTGTTGAGGGGTGGGGGAGGGGTGGAGCCGCGGCACCACCTGAGCTACGCCGACTTGGTCCCGACTAGGGCAGCTGTGTTGGGTGCTGTGCGGTGCAGTGGTGGCAGCTGCTTAACAACTTGTGTTCTCAGGGTTCCACTCTGGTCGCTGTGGGATCACAGTCCCTGGGGAATCCACTCCCAGTAGAAGACACTAGGTGTTCCTGGTGACATGGAAACACTGGGGCACTTCTACCTTTTTATCTGTCACTCCCCTCTTCATTCCCCTGCCCTGCCTTGTCCAACTCCTGTGTCTGTCCTCTACTGTCCTCATCCTTGTGGCATTGACACTGTGGTCTTTGTCCCTTCTTTACTCTATCTTCTTTTTCCTCTTTCTTGCGCCTGTCCCTTTTGTCCTTATCTTCTGCTGCTTGGATAGGCGGGGCAGGGTGGGGAGGCTTTGAGGAGGAGAGATGTGTGCGGTTGGTGGCCTGTGTTAGACTTGGCTGTTGGTCCTGTCATCGTGCAGGGACACCCCTTAGTATCTGAGTGCCTAGCCGCAGAAGAAGGATGCAGAACAATCTTCTGAGCTTCCTTCCTTACACTAGTCAGACAAGAGAGGAAAGGAAGGGAACCCAGTGTCGACATAACAGGAAGTTCTCTTGCCTGAGACATCCAATCCCAGCCTAAACTAAATATGGGTTGAACCCAGCTAAATACAAGATGAAAACAAAGAGGGCCGGCTGAGTGGCTCAGTTGGTTAAGAGCTCGCTCAAGAGTTTGAGCTCTGAGCAACAGCGGTTCAAGTCAGCCCGAGCTGAGCAGCCGTGAGCTGCCAACAGGTGGCGGGATGGCTCAGCTAAAAAAAAAACACAAAAAAACACAAAGGCTTAAAAAAA